AAAACTAAGGCCCAAGTCTGCAGACATCCATGCACATTAGTAACTTTACTGACAAAGTTAATAAAGGTAGTTAAGTGCAGAAGTGTTTGCAGCATTAGCCCTTCATGTGGCATGGCATAAATACATCATAGTGGCATGCATTCCACATATAGCATACACAATGGGAACTGAGTTCTAGCAAGGTTTTATGCGTGTTTTTTTTAAAAATGACTCCCACTGCCAAGTGGCTTGCCAGTTTCCAAGCACTTTACAAACACTAATTCATTCATAATACTTTAACATGGTTAAAGCACATTGTATTCTCCAGGGCAGCGGGGGTTTTTTTAGAACAACTTGTCAGACACAAAGAATTAACAGTCTCAAAAGAATAGAAAGATTGATGTGAAAGGGTTTAGAATACTGAAGTCTCTCACGGTACAACCTGGGCTTTCCTGTGCGCAAATACCTACAGTCATCATAATCATATAACCTGACTAGCTGACCACAGAAATAAGTGAGTCAAATCTTGCCAGCACTTTCCTCCGATTTCCTTTCTTTTCACCCCAGAGAAGCAAAACAAAAAGTGGGGAAAGAAGTTGGGGAACTGAGAAAAAGTGAAGGTTTCTTCATGTTCTGACACTGATCTTGATTCTGATAGAAATACAGGTCCAATCATACATTTTACTTACTAATATTTTCACCTTCCAATTAAAATTAAGGCAAATAATGACTCAAAATTAAGGTAATTACAAGGATTCCACTATTTGGTGTCTCCACTAACACATTACAAGTCTGGATCATACGAACATGGTAGCTGGGCAGTCAGCATGTTTGGTCTGTGTTATCTGAGCAGTGGAGATTTAGAAAAGATGTCAGCGTGGACAATTCCTGGAACAATGAGTATGAGAAACTGGTAAGAGAATGTATTGGCTCTCTCAGAGACCCAGACGACTGACTTTAACAATTTTGGTTGTTTTTTTTTTAAGGTTCTTTTGCAGCAGGCACCATTGTGATGTCAGTGTCAAGGCTACTCACTCT